TGACTTTGATTCTATATGCACCAATAATGGAATCTCGTATATATCCCATAATGCAGAATTGTTAAAATATTGCAGGATTTTGAAAAATCAGACAGCTTTGGAAATAAATGCCGAATACTAGTATCTTATGAAGCTATATAGTTCGGCAAATGTGTTAGGTATACCGAACAGCAAACTATAAAGAAAGGCTAAATGTGCGTTATTGTACTCATTAGAAGTACTCTCATTAAAGTTACATTTAATAAATTTCATAAAAAACTAAATAGCGATATTTCATTAATAAATTGTGTTTTATATCGACTCCAGGTCTTATTTTGGTGTCTAAACAACCAAAATTAGTTTTATTAGCATAAAAATAGGTAACCTCCTTGTGGCGAAATGGGAAGTACAATTTCTGTTTGCATGAGAAACTCCGCCTTCGGATCATCCGTACATCAATATTAAACCAACAAACATGACTATAAGTGGCAGTCCTAATTTAACAGTATATTTCCGAATTGTAACGGATGTTTTCATACAAATTTTATCTTTTTACGAGATGATTACTTTTACTGAACCCCATGTTTAGTGCACCGCGAAGCTTAAACGGTTAAAGTGTGTTTGCACAAGAAAATATCACATTTGCTGTGTTCTGGTTAGCAACTATAAAATTGTGACGTAGCGCATACACGAGCTCATATAGTCTTCATTTGCATGTTAAAATTCGTTTACGAACTTTAGTGTTACCGTGGGGTTTCCCGTTTAAAATCCTAATTTATGAACAATATTTGATGAGATTTACAATAAAACTATTAAACAGGTTAATGAAACTGTAGAATGTTTGATTTTTAGGCCGACGGCAAAATATTTCTACATATTTATTTAATGTAACTTTAATATCGGCAAAACACAAACTTCAACGACAGAACAGTAGCCAGTTCGTTTTTCTCACACAAATAATCTGGAATAAATGTAATGAGGGTCCTTACAGCCGTATGCTCTAATTTATTACTATTAATTTGATGAAATGTACTTTAAAAAAATTATCGACCCTTTTTCCTATTCGAAGTGGTCATTACTCCCCCGCCCATATAAATTGGCACAATTCAGCGTTATTATTCGTATGATAAAATTGTTTGGGATATAACAGAAAAGGATAAATTTTTTAATTTACTTTTAAGTAAAACTGATTTATTTGACGACATTATAAGAAAACTTGAGTCTAGTGATATTGATGTGAACCAGGGTGTTGATGCTTTTTCTAAACTTGTGCATGATTTATCATTTCAAAGTTGTGGTAAAACATTTTCGTCTGTCCCTATCACTAAAGAGAAAAAATCTCCATGGTTCAATGAATAATGTCGAGATGCAAAAGCCTCATTTTTTCGTGCTAAACGTGTATTCAAGAACCATAACTCAGAAGAGAACAAATTATCATTTTTAAAATTTAGAAATGAATTCGCAAAAGCGAAACGTCATGCAAAGAATAATTTTTATAATCAGGAAAAAACTAAATTAGCAGATGTTAGTAAGAAGTCCCCGCGCAAATTCTGGAAGTACATAAAAAAATTTAAAAAACGTGATAAAACTCATAACAATGTTAGTTTGAGCGACTTTAAAAATTATTTTTCAACTTTTTCTAATTCACCAAATATACAACTGAATTCTGATTCTGAGAGATTCTCACGTGATGAAACCGTTATAATTGATGTTTTAGATGCACCTTTGACTGTTAATGAAATTATAAAAACTATTTCTACATTAAACCGCCATAAAAGTTGTGATTACGAAAACAATGTAGCTGACTTTTTTATTGACGCGAAAGATTTTATATCACCATATCTTTGTATAATATTTAATAAAATATTCGAATCAGGAATTTACCCTGAGGCTTGGTGTAAAGGTATAATTGTACCTATTTATAAGAAAGGCGATGTTCATGACCCTTCTAACTATAGAGGGATTACCTTAGTGAATGTTATAGCCAAAATTTTCTCTTTAACGCTTAGGAACAGAATAAATAAATGGTGTGAAGAAGAAAATATTTTCTGTGATGAACAATTTGGCTTTCGTGATAATCGTTCTACAGCTGACGCCATTTTTTTGCTACATACTATTATTCAAAAAGTTTTATCGAAAAAGGAAAAACTTTGGTGCGCTTTTATCGACTACCAAAGGGCATTTGACACTGTTGTGAGAGATGAGCTATGGATAAAACTACTTCAATCTGGCGTTAGCTGTAAAATGATTAACATGATTAGAAATATATATAGTAATGTAAAATGTTGTGTGAAAATATCTTCTAGTATGTCTATGTCAGATTTTTTCGATGTAACGTTGGGTTTGAAACAGGGAGAACCATTGTCTCCTTTGCTATTCATACTTTTCATAAATGATATTTCTGCAAATATTGATATAAATGCAATGACTAATAAAGATCTAGAGCTATTATCTATGTATATGATACTTTTTGCAGACGACATTGTACTGTTCACAACTGATCCTAATAGTTTACAGGCACAGTTAGACAAAATATATGATTACTCGTTAAAGTGGGGTTTGAAAGTCAATGTAAATAAGACAAAAGTGTGTGTTTTTGAAAAGAGAAGAACTGATCATAATAACGTCTTTTTTATAAATAATGAAAATATTGAAATTGCTGATAATTTCACATATCTAGGTGTTAAATTAAATTCTCATACACTGGAAATCAACTTAATGCATACCATAATCTGATGTTTATTTTTGATAGAGTTAAATTAGATATCAAAACCAAATTACAACTTTTTAATTCTATAGTTGTACCTATTTTGCTATATGGATCGGAAATTTGGGGTGTTTATTATATAAACTCCATATAAGATTTTTAAAATATTTGTTAAGAGTACGTAAACAGACACCAACTATGGCAATTTATGGGGAATTAGGGACATTTCCATTGTCTATTGTTGTAAAAGAGAGAGCACTGAAATTTAAAAATTCTGTAAACATGCCTATTTTTTATGCTTATATTGACCAATGCAACAATGTAAATATTTCTTGTTGGGCAAGTCGTAGATCACCTTGGATTTTCGCATATAAGACTTAACTTCGATACAAGTATGAACTATTTTCCTTTGTTAAAAAGAACATTACGTGATCAATTTATACAAGAATGGAATACATCGTCAAATAATATATCTAAATTAGATTTTTACAGACAATTTAAAACAACATTTAGCTATGAAACTTATTTAGATAAGATAACTATAATGATATGCATAGAAAACAATTTACATATGTGAGACTTTGATCACACCATTTAGAGGTAGAACTAGGCATATATAGTAGATTAGATAGAGAAAATCGTCTATGTAAAATGTGTAATCAAAATGTAACAGAAACGGAATATCATTTTCTCCTATGTTGTACAAAATACTCTCAAATTCACCAGAAATACCTTGGTAACATATCATGGCCTTCCTTGAATAAATTTAATAGTATTATGTCTTGTAACAGCAAAAAGAAACTGATTTTATTATCGAAATTTATTAAAGAAGCTTTTGAATTGCGTAAATATACCCTTGAAACTTTAACTGTTTCATGAAAGTTTTTGTTTGTATGAATTTGTATTGTTATTATACTATTCTGTATTGTATGTCTTTGCCATACTTCATGTGTTTTCTTTGTAAATGGCCAAAGGCAATTGATTTGCTGATGATGCTAATAAATTTGAAACTTGAAACTTGTTATTTTTCAAAATTTCTGCGTTTACGGCGAATATTGTGTAATGCACAAATTTTTCGACTTCACATATTTTTTATTGTATAGAGAACAATAGAACAAAAACAGATCGGTATATATTTGCAGACCTGTTAAGCGGTCGGTAAGTGATTTACCAGACCGCTTTTAACAAAAGAGCCGGTGGGTAAGTAAAGTAATTATGTAAGAACAGAATGATGTTAACGGACTAGAGACAAGTAACACGCAATACACTTATTGACATAATTTCATAGTTTATTTGAATACGTCGCGATTGAACACAATTAATTACAGTTAAATAGTTGTGTTGTATGACAGACACATTTGCATATATCCAAAACACTCTGATTTTTCTGGCACTCGACAGACTACACAAAGAAGAACCCCTTTACCACTAAGTCTACAAAAAAACATATAATAACATTATACAAATTTATTACTTCACTTGACTAATGATAGAAATTGCCATGTCTCCCGTAATTGAAGCTGAAAGTCTTCAATAATTTGATTCTGCAGTTGTATGTGGGGAGAAAATCAAAGCATCAGAATACATAAAATAAAACTTATGTACGTCATAATTGTAATATTAAATATGTTTGATTGTGAAACAAAATGTACTCATTAGTTAAAACATCGGTCACATTCTAGTTGCAAAAGGACTCACATAGAATGCAACAGAAGGTAGTTTATAGTATAAGATAACGAAAGTGTCGAAAAACTTTCTGCCTCTCCTTCCATTGGTCGTTGAGTCAATTCCGACTCGATTCACGACCGTACTGTTTCATCTCACACAAGAACACGACCACCACTGTCCTGAAAAAATGAACGCATCTGACAAAACTAATTACATGTAATTCAAATGTTCAAATGTGACCTTGAGCTTTGAATGACTTTGACGGTCAATGTCAAACATGAAAATTAAATTGTATTTTGTTCAAGAGAATTATGGTTTCTGTTAATTCTTTTTAAGTAGTCTATACTAAAATAATTTTCCTCCGCTGTCTTTAACATTATAAGAAAAAGGCGAGGGTCGCCCACGATTTGCTGTAGCTCTTGTAATTTATTTCATTCGTTAAAAATGCAGATCTTATGATAGTAAATAATGCCCTGCGCGAAATTAACCAATCCCTTTGACTTACATGTTCTATTTAAAGCTTGCTTACTAAGACGTGATCGAAATCACATAACCAGTTTACTTAAGGAAGTTATTTTTTATACAAATGAAGAGCTTATTATAGTAATTCTGGCATACTTGTGCTATGTTGTTATATTCATTCTGTGCATTATGTATATGTTTTTTTTTTCAATATGTGAAATTATTCATCCACTCAACAAAGGAACAATTTATGCATAAACAGAAAATGTGTCGTGTAGAATGGCGATAAAGGTAAGTTTTGTACAATTACTATACACTTAGTCACTAGGTTAAATTGATATGTCGTTTATTTAATATCCAACGGAAAAATAAACGGGATGATCTAAAATCTAAATGAGGTTAAATAAGTCATGATCGATATTCAATAACCATTAAATTATTCAAATATTACACTGGCCGTAGCTTTTGTAGAAGCATTGCCCAATGTGTTACCGTCTCCAGTGACAGGTTGCTGCGATGACGACAAAGATCTAAAATTATGTACAGATAGGTACGGTGGTATAGAGATGACGCGTGTGTACTAGATACTGTGTCGTGGCAACGAGTTATTAAGTCATGCGCACGAGATAATTAAGTGGTGCGCATGAGATGTTATATCGTGGCCACGGGTTACTGTGTTGTGCGCATGAGTTTCTTAGTCGTGCGTACTAGATAATTATGTGGTGCGCACCATGTACTATGTCGTGTCCACGTGCTTCTTAGTCATGTGCACGGAATAATTAAGTCGTGAGCACAAGTTACTATGTGGTGCGAACGAGATAGTAAAGTCATGCGCACAAGATGATTAACAAATCAGAAAACAATCTATATAATATGAACTTTAAAACTTCCTGGTTTAAGTTGTAAATGCAACATTTATCTTTGAAACTACTGAAGTCATTCACTTTGTGTTTGGTACATGTCTTAAGGATCACTATCCAAGGCCCGTAGATTATACTTTAATTTTGACTATGTTAAGTCCCTTTTTAGGGATTATCCTCTGATAGGGATTATCAGTATGTATACTTACCTACCGGCTCCTTTGTTAAAAGCGGTCTAGTTAATCACTTACCGACGGGTAAACAGGTCTGCAAATAGATACCGACCGGTTATTGTTCTATTGTTCTCTATACAATAGAAAATATGTGAAGTCGAGTAACTCGTGCATTACAGTACACAACATTCACCGTAAAATAACGCTGAATTGTGGGGGAGAGGGGGGATAATGACCACTTTGAATAGGAAAAAGGGTCGATACATATTTTAAAGATTAATCGAAATAAATTAGCGCATACGGCTGTAAGTACCCTCATAACTTATATTCCAGATTATTTGTGAGAAAAGCGAACTGGCTACTGTTCTGGCGTTGAAGTTTTGTGTTTCGCCGATATTAATGAGTATAACAACGCACATTATGCCTTTCTTTAAAATTTGCTTTTCGGTATACCTAACACATTTGCCGAACTATATAGCTTCATAAGATACTAGTTTTCGGTATTTATTACCACAACTATGTCTGAATTTGCACAATCCTGCATTATTTAACATTTCTGCATTATAGGATATACGACGATTTTATTATTGGTGCATATCGAATCAAAGTCAACTTCTGCATCTTTCTTTCCCAAAATATTACTTTCAGTGAGAGTATAGTTCATCTTAAGTATAAGACCGTTTTTCTTATTTTTTCCAGTTATTTAGACATTACAATTTGGGTTTGTATACCAGTTCCAAGAATACGACTTGCGCTTCCATTCTAGACCGCGTGCTTACATGCGGTCTTATAACGGATGATGCTAATTAAGAATACACGGAAAGAAAATTCTTTCAAACATGGATGAAATTCCAAGAACGTTTAAAATCAGCCATCATAAAAAACAACAACAACAAAGCCCAACTTACATAACGGTGTTACTACATGTATTACTAATATTTATTCATAGAACCCCGTCCCGTCTTTTACTTTCCTTTGAAAAAATCGTATATTTTAATTACATAAGAAATAGCCTAATCATCTATTTACCATGAAATTTAGTATATATAAAGATAAATTGTTCCGTTTTTATGATTAGTAAACATTTTTATCTTCCTCAGTATTTGTTTATATTATTAATATGTTATGTATTCATATATAAAAATAATGATCTTACCTTTCACAACTCGACAAGTTCTGTTTTCATTTTCTGTGACTCAGCTCAACAAGTACACTACCTAATGAAACCCACGAAAATTACGAGAACATTCAAATAACACCTGATTTATGAACGAATGAATTACAAGAGCGTAGCGGATGGTATCTTTGCTTGGCTTTGGAATGATTTCTTAAACATGATAAAGTACATAAGTAATGTGTTTCTTGTGAGTAATATTAATAAATACTGAGCTTTAAACTGATGTATGGATAGAAAAACAAAAGAGCATGTAGGTAAGATAGTTACCGCACTTTAAAAACCTCGATCGCTACGCTCTCTCGGTCTTCAAATCGCCACCCGGGTCTGTAAATACTATGCAGACATATTCCTCGTACGGTAACTATTACGTACTAACTGCCTGTTAACCATGCTCATACGATAACTTGAGAAGAAATAAGCCCTTTTTTATTATATTTCATAGGAACATTGCCCATGGCCAGTAGATGACCTACATTGATGATTGAGGTATATTATCCTTTTTATAACTTAGTATGTACATTACACCTGATCAGTAGATGACACCGTATGATATTGAGGGCATTAGGTGATCAATCAGTGCCCTAATGACGTTAAGTGTACATTTTTGTCCAATAAATAACTTTTGTATATGCCACTGTGACAGGCAAGTGAAGTATGGACATCATTGTATTATTGCAAATTTGTAGGTAACTAAGAAAATGCAAAGAGATAGTGTAATCTGATTGATTAATTATCTCGTTACAGGATAGTGTCTCGTACCCACGACTTAATTATTACATGCGCACGACTTAGTTACTCTTGGCCATGTCATGGTATCTCGTTCGCACCACTAAATTATCTCGTGTGAAAGACTTATTCAATCGTGGCCACGACATAGAATGAATCGTAGTGATATTTCAAAACAATATCTTGAAGTTGATGCCAATTGTAAATATAAATAAGGAACGTAGTAGACAAAATGTAATAAATTAGAGAAAACGATCCTTTAAAAAAGTCCAAAACGGCAAAACTGTTGCTGGCTCGGTTTGATTGAGCCTGTTCATGAACAGTACTGTCAAGTGTAAACTAAACTACCGTCCACGCCCCCCTAGCATCAGCTTAAGCAGAAATCAGAATTTAAACACAAAAATGGTGAAATTTTTAATTAAGAAGCATCCGCAAACGTGCTCATACGGCAGTTAACACGAACCTTCAATGTGACACACGATGAAAAGCGGTGTATGGTTCCCGAGTAAAAGAAAGCGTGTGCAACAAAGTGTGTGCAAAGAAAGTTGACTGACAATAGCAGACAATAGAATATTTAATTTGTTATATCTAAAGGTTGCAATTTATCATAATTATATGTTATATTCTAAAATTTGTCTCATAGGATAGTGGCCTGAAAATAAGATAATATCAATATATATGATGTGTATTGTATGTAATAATACATTAGATATCATATCCCATAACTAGCGTTGTATCCCGATAGTTGTGGAGATTGCATGTGACACATATTGCCAATACATTTACATTGCATTTTAGTCCTTTCAGTTTATTTTCTTGGTCCTAAAACGGCGGCGCCCAAGCTGGCCACTTATTAATAATAAGTCGTTGCGGACATATTAAAGTATATTTAAGCAAAGTTTAAATTTACTTATAGTAGCAGTAAACTTCAAAAATAACAATACTGGTACCTGACAAACTTACAAATCATAAGGATTTACGAGATAAAAAACAAAAGTTACCTTAAGACATCAGTTTGACTGATGTGAAAAAAGTTTGATGTTGCCGTAACGCAACTTTTTTGTAATAAATTTTATTTCTAACTTTCTTCTTACAAGTCATTTAGACAGAAAAATAAAATTCACTAAGATGACATTTACTGCATTTTATTACATCCCAATCATATTTAAAATGGGTTTCAATATGACAACAAAAGCAAATGACTGACAGAACAAGATAATTTTTAAGCATGTTTTATTCATAAGGAAAACATTGACAATTTAAGTACTATAGTAGTTTGTTAAGTGGCCACAATTTTTAGATATTTCAAGTGGTAAAGTTGAGACTCTTACCACATTAGCATCAAACATATCTTTATTACTGCAACATCAGTATTAAAATGACTTTTAGTAAGATTGCTGTATATAAGTATCGACCGGCATCTTGAACTCCACATCAAATGTTTAATGTCGCAGACAGCAAATCAGTCAGTTCTCAGTATCTAAGCAGAACTCAGTTGACATCTTCAGAATTTTGGTACCCAAAGTGCGTTAATATGAAGCATTTCAACGCACTTTCGGTTCAATTTCTCGATTTGGGGTCCCACCCCAAAGTGCGTTTGACCCGAAAGTGCGGTGTAACATGGCCATGACATAGTATCTAGTGCACACCACTTAAATATCTCGTTCCCATGACTTAGTTTCTCGTGACCAGGTTATAGTATCTCATGCGCACTACTTAATTATCTTATGCACACGACTTATTAACTCTCGGCCATGACATAGTATCTCGTTCGCTCGAGAAAAAAATACACACGCACTAATGTCATTTCTTTGTCACCGTAAAAGTCGGATGAAAAGTACGTTGTGTGTAACTGGACATTCAAAACAGTCTTTTGTGGAATTTGACCAAAGGCCTTGTATTTCAATCTAGTCCTGTGATGTAAACGTTACAATAAAATACATCAGATATTTTGTTTTTCCATTGAAGTCACAACTATCTTCTATTTAATCGATTGCTGGAAAATCTTCTCTTTCATCCCGCGTAAGACAAAATGTGTGCCTTAATTAACTGACCTTTTTCCATCGTGGATTTTATGAATTATTTGCGTTTTTAGAATGATGTCATTTTCCATTAAAGATAACGTTGTAAGTTCATACGCTTTTATAAGAAAAAGTTCTAAACAGAAATATCAAGATTTCATAATTCATTTTCGAAAAATAGAAAAAATGTAAATAAAAATGCAAGAAAAAGAATCAAGCACCGGGTATCGTCACAGACCTTAATATATAAATGTTTAGAGGAAACTTTGCACAGCCTTTTTACCGCTGTAAACAGCTATCCGCGAGTCTGTACCGACAGACGTTGTACAAGCCT